GAGAGAGAGAGAGAGAGAGAGAGAGAGAGAGAGAGAGAGAGAGAGAGAGAGAGATAGACGCGGAGAGAGAGAGAGAGAGAGAGAGAGAGAGAGAGAGAGAGAGAGAGAGAGAGAGAGAGAGAGAGAGAGAGAGAGAGATTCCTACCACCCATGCCCATGCCCCAGCCCAAGCAGCATCATGCACCTAGGCCTGGCCTGCATACTACCACCCAGCCCACATACTCCGCCCTGCCCCACATAGTGCCCCACAACCTTCCACCCAATACACATGGCGCCACAAAACCGACAACATCATCCACGGCAGATAAACCACCCAGCCCACTTAGTACAGCCTATCGGTGTGGTCTTTTTGTTTGCTGTGTCAGAATTGTGCCAGCCAGCGCACATGGTACGGATTTGTAAGAATTGTGCCACCCAGCGCAGGTGGTGTGGTCCAGTCCACACAGTATGACCCACCCCACAGTCGCCCACAGCCTGACTATCCAGTATCGCCTGCGGCCCATAATACGACCCACCGTGATAATTGCTCTTGTCGTTTTGTACTTCGTAAGAATCGTACCGCCCAGCCCACATGGTATCATCCAGTCCACATGGTATGACGCGCGCAACATAGTACCCGGCAGCCAGACCACCTCGTCCACATCAGGCCACCCAACCCAGAGAGTATCACCCACAATTTCATAATACCACCCAGCCCTCTCTTCCCTACCATCCTTCCCTGTTCAATCCCTCCTGCAGCCCTGATTCCTTTCCTTACTTTTATTCTTTTGTCCTGCTGCTTGTGGCGGGTCGAACTTCCTTCTCTTGAAACGCATGAATCCCTACCCTATTCTTTGTCCTATCCTTGGTGCCACCCAGGTGGCCCAACGCGACGATCTTTCTCAACTTGCGCCCTGGTCAACGGCTCGTCACCCTTCAGTCTCAAACCTGCATATAGGCCCCTTGGAAGCACAACAATGGCCACTTGCTCAGTCAGGTATGCTCTCCAACGTGTGATGGAGAATGTGTTGTGCAACACTGGTGGATTAAGGAAAGTGCGGAGGAGGTTGCTTTGGTTGTCAACCAGAATGCCCATTCCCTTCATCTACTCCACACGCAACAGATCCTACCACAATGCACACCAACCTGCCATATGACACGATCCTTAATTACATGCTAACATTGTTTACTAAGCACATGATTATGCTTGGCGCTGATTCTGAGACAA